AACAATCATTTCAATAATTTTCGTACTATGACTCAACCTCTCGAAAAAAAAAAATAATAATCTGGTCTGGTTATGGTAATAGGCCRGTAAAAATYAATATAGGTATTCAGGAGTTATTCATAATTCACCGAATGCCTCGCTTTGAACATTGTACTAGTTTGCATCAAAAAACTTTTTTTTAGCTCCAAGTAGCAATTTGTGCCCACTGTRCCTTATGCACGTTTCGTTCAAGTGTCATTATACCCATATAAGAATATCCTGTCCATTTCATTCACCCATACACTAATACCAATAAGCAAATATATATGYATGTATGTGTGTTTAAAAGTAATTGTAAAGGTTATACGCATTGGATATTATTCGCTTTTGCACCCATACAAACAAGCACATATAAAATTACAAATAATGCAAGATATTCGTATCACCATACGGTTGAGCGCGAGATTTAATTCACTCACTCGGCTCAAAGTGCTTATGCCACGGCGAGCGAGACATTTCACCCCTAAGCTGCTTCACGGTAATTTAACCACGTGCAACTGAACTGAAGTGCGCCTGTGTGTATGTTTGTGTTTATGAAAGACCTTATTTCTAGCTGTTATTGCTTGATAATTTTTGCTTGCTTTTGTGCTTGTTTGTGTTGTTGTAGTGCGTAAAAGCACTTTGCAATGCGTTTTGAAGAGAGCGCGCTCTGTGTTGCKTTTGTGTTGGTGAGCGTGCCGCTACTGTTGCCACTCTGTAGCCATAAAAATGCGATTGCGGGAAAGGTGTGTGCCCGATGGGATGCACTSGGAGTGCGGGTAGCGTCGTAGATGGCAGTGCAATGCCACGGACGCACATGTAAGGGAGTGTTGCAAGAATTGAAGGGGTGGGTACGATAACATTACGGTTGCCGGCGCTGTACGAAAAGGGGTGGTGAAAGGTGGAATAAGGTGCTCTTGCTGGCGGTTAAGGTGGTGTATGCTTTCGGCTTCAGCGTCTTCCTTGTGTATGTGTGTGTGGCGTGTGTGCGGAAATGTGCGTTGAGCTTTTGTGATCGTAAAATTTTACGACTCTGAGTATCTGGYTGGGATCAGCAAGCATTGTTCGGACTTAACTACATGCGTATAATTCTCAGTTGAAAGTTTACATTAAAATCGGGGTTGATGTTGGCAGACAAATAAAGTTATGTATACATAGATAGATGGTGCAACAAAATCTTTGCATGTTGCTATGATGTTTGCAACATGTTGCTAAAACAGATATATGTACATATACGGTATATTAAAGATCATATCTAATAAAGGATTTCGAAATTTAATGCTAGTGGAAGTACTGATCAGCCAAATAMACTGAAGTCTACGACCATTTTTGGGTATCAGCTGGCATGTCTTGCAGGCAATATTTGAGAAAGTTTTAATTCATGATCCTGATTAATACAACTTCTGTATGGGAGTATATAATTAAGGAGGGAACACCTCTCAAACCTGTTGAATGGCAGTGAAAGCATAACACCAAGAGAAGGCAAGATTAATACGGTTGAATAAACTGACCTTTAGCAATACCGAACTGTTCGTTACCAAGCGAGGAGAAAATAATTCGAGCTGCAGCGCTGAAAAAAAAAGTACAATCTTCTATAAGACTGTACAAGTGTACATCTGGTGTAGTCCGATGATGCTGATATCATTGGCCTCATCAACCACACCGTTAGTTCTGTCTTCTCCAGACTGGATAAGGTAGCGAAGCAAATGGGTCTTGTAATGAACGAGAGCAAGACGAAATATCTCCTGTCGACAAACAAACAGGCCTGGTACTCGCTACTTGGCTCCCAGTCGTAACTTCGAAGTCGTAGATAATTTCTTCTATCGTGGAACCAAAAACAAC